CCGCCAGACTGAAGATTACATTAGAAGGCGCGCACTCGACCAAAGGAAGGCAGCACCCTTACCGAGAGATATCTTAAAGTCTATAAGTTACAGCTGTAAGGTCTATGGGCGGTTCATTATCCACAGCCGCTCGATGATATAGGACAACTGAGGAACCAGTATTTCACCAAATCCTCTATTGTGGTTAGTGGAAGTTCTGGTTGCTCTCCAGAGTCAGGTCATAATCTAAGCCATAAATACGGCGGTGTGGTGTTGTGTGTGTGTCGTTGTGTGTGTGTGTGGGTGTGTGTGTGTGTGCTGTGTGTGTTGTTGTGTGTGTGTGTGTGTGTGGTGTGGTGTGTGTGTGGTGGTTGTGTGTGTGTGTGTGTGTGTGTGCTTGTGGGTGGTGTGTGTGTGTGTGTGTGTGTGTGTTAAAATGTGAGTCGCTTCATTGAATTTATTAATCTTCGACTGTACTCGCGAAAGATCTCCAACCTCTCTGAGCTTAAAGAGTACAGCAAAAGTGTGATTCAATTACAAAAGCCCTGAGTCTCTAGCACAGTGCCGTACCCTGGCTGCGCTAGCAGAGTGTCGATATTAAAGAACAAGTATTTCTAGTGTTACTGGCTGAGCTAATTTCTTTTCCAATTCAGCAGGGAAAAAAACACGTTGACAATGTACAATCAAAGCTTTGGGTGGATGAAATGCAGGCCTCTCAGTCCCCCCCCCCCCCCCCCCTCCTGAAGCCTCACAGGGCTGCCACTGAAAGTGATGATGGAGTAATTAGCAGCTTCAAAGCATTCGTTTGCTTTCATACATCCAGCACCTCTCATTACTTGCGATTTTTTTCCTCTTATGTCCTCTTCTCTCACTGCAAATGCACTCTTTCCCACTGGCTATGAATTTAAATTGAAGGGAATATTGCAGCATAACATGCCGACTGCGGCACATAAACACATTTCCACTGTGTGGTGCAGTGGCACAGAAGCATATACTGAGGGGAAAACAGGAGAGGACTGGGAATACAGCTGAACCTCTGCTGACTCTTGTTAATATGATCAACCAGATGCAGGGTGGTTATTATATTGAAAGATATAAACAGATACTATCATCCGATGCATCTGTCGTCTATCCTTTTCCCTCATAGTGTAAAGACCATATCAAATATTGTCGTTGCTTCATGTAAACCAGCGTTTCCCTCCATCATAAAGCAGATTATTTTCCAGACCACATGCTGCACAAATGCAAGCCTTTAGTCCACAACTATTAAGGTAATGCTATGTCTGGGGCTCAGAGGGGTAATGGCACTGCACAGATGGCGAGAGGTTTGTTTGTTATAGGTATAGTAGAGCCAGCTAAAGTGACTGGTGTGTTTTAATGAGAGGGAGGAAGCTGTCTCGCTCTGCAGAGGTTCACTGGAGCCCAGCCCCCACACAGAGAGCACAGTTACACTTACAGGCCACTAGAAGGGGATGTGTGTCTGCCCCAGTTTGGACTCCTCGTGTGCTCTTTTACAAGTACATTTACTCAGGTACTAGTACAACTCTGAGGCGCAGACCCTGCAAATTGCATGAGTTTTTCCTTTTTATGCTGCTTTAATTTCTACTCCACTACAATTTAGAGGCATAATTGGACTTTTAACATCCCTTCATTTATTTGACAGCTTTAGTTCCAAGTAACTCTGTAGATTCAGATTCTTCAAAGTGTTTCCGCTGCGCCCCGCCAACGGAGCCCCGCTCCCCTCCTGAAATTCAAGGTGTTTAAAAAAATATATATATATAATTTTTTTTAAATATTTTTTTTATATATATATATATCGCACCAATATTGCAACTTTAATCTATTATCGACTGTCACCTTTTCACAGGTTGGGAACAGTGGGCGGTGGTCTTGTATTAAATAAAAGGAAAGCGTGCGTCGTTTTAAGTGTGGAGTTTCGGTGTTGTGGAGCCGCGAAGAAAGCACTGGTATGCATTAGATTCAATATACAATAGATCCACAGCGCTCCGCTCTCTGCTCAGAGGATTAAGGATATAATGTAGAGATTCAGATGAAG